CTGGGAAGTCACTATAGGGTAGACACTATAGGGTAGACTGGGAAGTCACCAAGGATCTCATCTGGATCTGTGGCATCCTCTAGTCTTCTTCCTTTGGATTTTGTAATAAATGTTCCAAACTTGAGTCATTTCCCTTTCACACTTCTTTGTCCGATTTCGTTGGTCCGATTTCGTTGAAAATTTCGTTGAAAAGTCTCATCCTTTTGAAGTCCTTGAAGATAATTTTTCCTGATTTTTATCGAGAGTATTTTTAATTGATTTTGGTCATTTAAGATGTAATTAACTAAATGGGGTTGCCCTTATAGGAATCTTTTCCGAACCCAGCTTAAAATGAACCCTATTTAATTTTTCGTATTAAATATGGGAATTTGTCGGCAAATAAAACGGTTTTTCAAAACAAAAAGAAGTCAAACACTTTTCTTTGATCGAGTCTCATCCTCAAGTCTTGTGTTTATCCCTCGGGATAGATACATGGTTTGAGGTAAAACGCTCTTTCATTTAAACTATGAAAAATATGGGGTCAGTTTGATTTTATATTTTTCTAAACTTAAATCTATATGTAAATTAAAGCGTCGTTCCGAAGCGAGCGACAAGATTATGATTCCGGTGACCGACAACTTCTTACGGGAAACTCCCCCAACCCAACTTTTATCGTCGACAGATATGTAAATGCTGAAGGGGTTTGTTAGTGTGGGAAATGGGTAAATTTTTTGGGTGTTTTATTTGAGTCGAAAGTCTGAAAGGGTTTAGTTGATTCTAAAATATTTAAGGGACAGATATTGCAGTTTTGTAGACAACATTACAAATTTTGCGTGTCAGATTATTCATGTAACTAAAAAATCTGTAAATAAGCTGTTTACAAAACACACAAACCAAAAAACTAAACAGCTTATCAGAAACAGGGGCAGAATAATCATTTATCCAGAATCAGCTGTTTTCCAAACTCACAAATCAAACAGACAAACAACTTATCTAAATTTACTGTTTATCACCAGCTTATCAGGATAAACAGCTTATTTGCATAAGCTGGATAAGCTGCATCTGCCCCAAACAGACCCTTAGTTGTGCATTTCAGTTAATAATGATGCATTGTTCTGGGCCCACAGCTTCTACTAAAGCTAGGATGTGCAATGAAAGCTAGAAATGCATATCAAAGACAACTAAGTGAACTAAAGTTTCCTATAGATTCAAACCAAGAAAATGTTAGAATTTGAATCCAGTTAAGAATGCAATGATTGATTAAGGCCCCGTTTGGGGCAGCTTATAACTGCTGGCGGCGTTTTACAAACGTCGCCGTCGCGTTTGTTTCGCGCGTTTTCATAGCTTAACGGAGAACAGTGTTTTAAATTACTTAATAGACACGACTACAGGATTGACCCCGTGGCCCGCGTCTTCGATCCGCGTCGAGTGATTTTTCCCTTGGATGCCCTTCTTTCGTCGCCTCCCTCCCTCACCGCTTCCGTCCGCTCCTCTACTTCTTCCCCGCGATCTCTTCCAAGTTCGTGGAAAACGAACAAGGTAAAGTCCTCCCCTCTACCTTCCGCTCTTTCTTCCTCGCCATCTCTTCCCAGTTCATGGGAAACGATGAAGCTAAAAATGTAAAAAAATATTAGGTTTTTTTTTCCAAATCATTTTCTCTCTTATTCTCAAGCAATCTCTTCAGAAGCAATTTTTTTTTCTTATCATTTAACAGAGGGAAGAGTTTGGAGGGGTACACTAAGGTGAAGGGGGAAGAGAAGGAGATTGCACCTTTGAGGACGAGCTCCATGAATCGTTATGGTTCAAGGCCACAGCTTGACCTTACTGGGGCAGCAATTCAGAGCAATTCGGAGGAGAGGAACTAACCAGTCCGATGACATCTCTCACATGGCCCTGGATGTCCTTTACATTGCCATGGTTGAGCCATTCAGCTTGTTGTCCATTCAGCTTGTTGTTTTAAAGATTCAGCTTGTTGTTTTAAAGCGGATACTATTGCCTTCAACTTCTATACTGAGAACATTTTTTATATTTTTTATTAGATCCTGCACTGTTTATTTTAATTTAGTGGCATGTATGTCTTCCGTAATGCTATTTTGCAAGTAAAACATGTGCATACATATATGTAAATCTTCAGTAATGTTATTTTGCAAGTAAAGCATGTGCATACAACATGATTTTTTTGAGTAATTTTGACCACCATTGTTTGTTACTGATCAAGTTTAATTTTTTTTTAAGTTGTTTTTGCTTCAAATTGTTAAGGTTAATTTTTTAGAAAAGTAGAAGCGAATTAGGATTGTTAAGGTTAATTTTATAGAAGAAAATATGTGCACAAGTTGTACATTAATATATTGTTAGACACAATTGTAATTGTTTGGCGATATTTACTGCTATAGATCAGCTAAAACAACCCTATTTGGGATTATAAATAGGGGCATTTTAAAATTAATATTATCGTACTTATAATTGTAATTTTATTATGATTTTTTGGGTCTCATTATACTACATATTAGTATGTGAATGTGTATTTCACTTTTGTATATGTAACTGTTCTTCTTTGATGTGCTCAGAAATATTTGAGTTATAAAAATGTAACTCAACTTTTTTGTATTTTCATGGCTTAACATTTGAACTTAAATTTTACAAACTTGTCACATTCCATATAAAATAATATTATGTTGCAATTTTTCGGTGGTCTGTATGTGTCGAATGAGTCTGAAGAGGGTTAATTGGTTATAAAATATCTAACATATAAAATATCTAACATGTATACTAACATGTATACATTGTCGTTTTATTGAGAAAATTATAAATTCTGCATGACAGATTTATCATTTAACTAAAAAAATCAGCAAATAAATTATTTACAAAACGCACAAACCAAACAGCTAAACAGTTTATCCAGAACAGGAGCCGAATGATCATTTATCAAGAATCAACTGTTTTTCAAACGCACAAACCAAACAGTCAGTCAGCTTATCCGGATCAGCTGCTCATCAACAGATTATCAAGATAAGCTGTTTATCAGCATAAACTGGATAAGCTGCAGTTGCCCCAAACAGACCCTAAATATGAAAAAAAATCAATGGAAAACTCATATTACACCAAATCATTGAGCAATTCAATTTTAGCACAACAGTTAAAATTTCATTATTTCAATTTTACCAAAATCTTGAACTTGAGTAAAAATCTATTGTAGGCTTGTAAAGATTATAGAAATGACATTTTCCATAGTTCTGACCATCTTGTATCGACTTTTAATGATGCTTTTTCCATCTCAAACGACACCATTACATATGTTTCATGATATCCATTTCATATATCATGACATTGCTTGGTTTTCATAAGTCTCTTTTTCATCCTTCTTATTCACCCATACCTAACGACAAAATAAATCTTAGGTTTCTATCTATAGATTATCATTTTATATATTTACCATATTAGCGTTGTGGCAACTTTAGTCACTCTATCACATGTTATTGTTTTGGTTACGGACAATCCTTTCATGATAATACTAGTTTGCATGTTGTTACCGAGGAATCTGCATTTTACTTGCCTTCTGTGAATATATTTTTTCCTTTTTCAGGTCATAAGAGATGCTAACTTTCCTAATTGAATTTAAAAAAAAAAATCTGATGGTGAAAAATTTTACTAATCCTTATTTGCTCAAGCTGTAAGTTGCTGATACGTACACTCTTGATTCATCATCAACCAATTTTATCATTTGGGATGAATCTCGAGGCGGTTTTTTGTGCAAGAAACATTTCAATTCAAATTAAAGATCATTCAGAGCACCGATTTCAACAAATTTATGGTCAAACTGTCTGTCTCGACAAGGTGAACCCATTGATACCATAAGTGATCCAATCCAAGTCTGATCAAACACGAATTAAGCCATTGAACCATGTTTTGAGGTTTTGGGTAGTTAATCGGAGGGTCAAATGAACTCCAAATTTGACGTGTCTACAATTAAATTGAACGAGCCCAAACTCAATTAATTATGAAATCAATTAAACTTTCAAATCATAAAAGATCTTATATAATCAAAGAGAATCAATGTGGGTCGTTCGATTAGGTGGTTATGAGAGTTATTATTAAAATAACCAAAATCCCCCTCCCCTAGAGCCTATAAATAGACCCCTCTTTTCACTTGGAGGGAATCAAATTCTAGTTTTGTTTTAGATTGAAGATTCAACAATAATTTTCAGCCTCTGTAGCCGCTGACCATCATCAACCGACCCCTGCTTGTTGTAGTTTGTCAATTATATTATGCAACGGCACATCCTTAAATACGGTACAACTAGTTATCCTGAATACGGTTATACGAAGTATTCTGCATATGAAGTATTGAATAATGTCGTATTCAAGATCCAACAATTACTTTTGCCGATGAATACTTTCAACCGCAGTACTCTGAATATGATGAAATTCTTTAAACTTGTAAAGTGTTTTGTACACAATGCTTGAATAAGTGTTGTACTTGGTGTAGCGTTGTAACCTTTTTTTGCCAATTGTGGGACAATGATATATCTTTGTAATTACACATTTATAGTGGTTTACTTTATCTGGGCTAAGCCCGTGATTTTTTATTTCCAGATTTTTCCACATAAAAAAACATGATATCTTCTCATGTTACTTTTCAATCATCTGTGCGTGCGTTGAATTTTCATACAACGTTGAGAGATTAAAGGTGCATTTGGGGCATGTGCGTTTCAAGATAAGTTGTTTATCCTGAAACGCGGTCCGCGGCTTGCGTTTAGTGTGAAAACCCAAACACGGTTTCGGATAAGCTGGCGAAACGCGCGAACCAAACAGTACGGCGGGCGTTTTGAAAACACCGCCCGCATTTATAAGCTGCCTCAAACGGGCCCTAAATTATCACTGTATCGCCGCGAATATTCCGACACACAACAACTCTAATATAATGGAATTAATTATTTTCAAAATATGATGATTTCTTGTACCTTGCGAACTTGTACGTTTTTTTTGCCTTAGTTGTCTGCTTAATTTTACTTTTCGTGCAGTGTAGAAATGTAGTTTGGCTTCCGGGAGCAATATCAGATGCAAGTGTAACTGGCAATGTTTGTCCTAGATGTACTACAGGTCATCCTAAAATTAATGACGCCTTTTCGTTCATATTTATATATGTGCTTGATGTACTTACTTCTTCCTTCTTAGACTCTAGATATGATTTTCACCATAATGTTCTTGTATCTTTTTTTATTTTTTTTATTTTTTTGAGCACAGGTCCTGTTTTTCTTATTCAATTTAAGTTTCGTCGATTGGAGATACCTCCTAACTATGATGTCGACCATTTGGGTAAGCAGAGCATAGCTTTTAATTCTGAGAGAATGCTTGAATTCCAGCTGTCTATTATTTTGATAATATGTAGATTAGCAACGCCTGATCCTGATTTTTCTAGAAAGCCATAGCAATTCTTTTGTGCTGTCTCCAAGTTTTGTAATGCCATTTTTCCTGTTCCTAGGAAGCGAGGGCATTATAGGAAAAACTGAATTAATGGCTTCAAGAAATTTTTAAAATTTAATAACGGTGATAAGGATGCCATAGGTTAATTTGGATAAATACTTCATCACAACCCTGGTCCAAGCACGAGCACAATAATCAAACAAAAGATAGTTGCATTAGTGGGTCTGTTTGGGACAGTTGTTGATTATTTATAATCTGGTGATAAATAGATTATTCTGATAATCTGATAATCTGTAGATTGTCAGAATAAGCTGATTTGTTGTTTGGTTATTTATAATCTGAGATTATCAAAATAAGTTTGTTTGTTATTTGGGGCAGCTTATTCAGAATAACTTATATATAGTTGTTGTATAAATGACATTCATGGTCTCTGTTTGGTAAAATTATTTGCAACTGAACTAAAATAAGATTAGAAGCATATAATAGAAAGCCTGAAATCATCACAGATCAATTCCAAAAGATAACATGCAGTTTTCACACTCTCGTGAGTATCAGAAGAAATAAAAAAAGGATAAATACAATTACAATTACAATGAGAAATATTAAAAATATTCAATTTCAAACTCTAAATATGTCTGTCCTCAACTGCACTGTCAACATGAGAAATCATCGTATCCCGATCACTGCTAGCAGTGTAACATGTTGGACCATCATACCATCGGAAGAAACCACAACGAGCTGAGAAACCCTTGCGACAACCGTAAAACCGTCTCCCACTGTTGTGTGGCTGACGTGACGTGAGTAACGGAGCAGGTAGTCCGAGTTACACAAAACAACTTTGTTTGTCCCCAAAATCCTAGAAGTCATGTTGCTATAGATGCAAAAAAAACATCAATCGTCACATCCTTAAAAAAATATATGCAAATGAAAATAAACCTATATTATATGAAATGAATAAAACTTGGCGGATCAGCTGCTATAAATATCATCTGCGATAGACTCCCTCAAAGCAGTCATTTCAGCCACATCCTCAGCGTCATGAACCTCAAAATCATTAGAGTCAATCTCATCCTCATGTACTCAAGACTCAACCACAAATTCTGATGGCTCTTCAAAGACAATCAGTTCATCATTATCAGTCATACTAAAGTCTATATCTGAACGTGAAGGATGTTGTCGGATGAAGTTATGAAGTATCATTGTTGCCACCACAATATGCACCTGCTTTTGAAATGAATACGTCGACATATCACGTAAGATGACCCATATCTTCTTTCAAACCCCAAATGTTCTTTCAATTACCCCGCGTAAAGAGAAGTGACGTTTGTTAAACATTTCTTTTCTACCCCGGATGGTGTCACTTGCTCAAAATATGAAATATGATATCTAGTGTCTGGATATGGCTTCGGTTATCCCCTCTGCATGGGATATCTAGCATCAACCAAATAATATTTTCCTGTTATGGAAGATGTTAATGACAAATAAAAAGATATAACTACTACGTTTACCAATCAAATCATACTTAAAGGCGGGTGAGGAAAACACTGTAATCTATTCTTAGTTGCATAGGAGAAAATCTGATTGTCATGTGCACTCTCTTCCCAGCCCGCCATGACAAAAGTGAAACACATATTGAAGTCACATACCGTCATGACATTTTGTGTTGTTGAGTCATTACGACCAATGTACGTCACCTTTGGCTGGGTAGTCGGGCATCGACGTGAGTACCGTCAATTGCACCTATGTAGTTATGTTTCACTTGCGTAAGAAAATATTTATATTTTGATGGTAACAGAAAGAAACTAATAGTTTTCTTAAAAAAAGGCATCTAACGGTCATCATTAGCAATTTGTCGTAGAGTACTAGTAAATGTTGGATCCTCTGACTTAATGATTTGAGCTGTCAAACCAAGAAGTGTTTGTATGTCTTTGGAGAAGTAACGGCTTACTATTTCTGATGAATGATGAAATCTCTCCATAGCATCTCTAATTGATTCGTTCTGTGACAGAATGTATAATGTTATAGCCAACACCTCATTCTTGTCGTTCTGGAGGAACTTTGAAGATCGTGATTCAAAGATAACTCGTGCAGGAGATCCATAAAAATAAGTACAGTAATTTGTACTTATTTTAAAAGGTGTGAACGATTCAGATATCTTGGGTCCGTTGTCCAAAGTAATGGTGATATAGATGGGGATGTTAATAGTAGAATTCAAGTTGGTTGGTTGAAGTGGAGGAATGTTTCGGGCCTTTTGTGTGATAGAAAAGTACCGCTAAGACTGAAAGGAAAATTTTATAAGACGGTGGTGAGACCGGCAATTCTCTATGGTGTTGAATGTTGGCCTTTAAAAGAGAAGCATAATAATAAGTTAAGTGTTGCCGAGATGAGAATGATTAGGTGGATGAGTGGCTTTACACTTAGAGACAAAATGCGGAATGAATATATTCATGATAGGGTTG